TCTTAACCACAATTTATAGGATTTCTTCTTACATTAATAAAGTCAAATAAAGGATTTTTATATCAAAGCAGATTGAAAAACCCAAAACAAAACAGTAGGTTGATTAACAGAGAAACTGGAGATGAAAAACGTAAACACGTGCTTTTGGAGCAGTGCCTTTTATTTGCACTTACTTATTGGAGTCTCCACATACTCATTCTCTCTGACCACGGAGGCCGAGTTGTGGTTGTTTATATTCAGATTGGGTTTGAGTGGTTCCTTCACCGGAGGTGTAGGTGGAAAAGGTGAATATTCAGGTGGAAAAGGTGAAGATTCTTCCTCATACGCCGGACTGATTCTGGTCAGCGGAGGGCGTGATATTTGTGACATGGCCCCCTTGCTGTGTAAAGCCTCCAGCTCCTCCCTTATTGATCGACCTGCGGGTTTCTCAGGAGGCTGAGGTCTGGGGGCTGTCGTAGGGTTTTTAAAGAGGTTTGCCCCCGATATGTTTTGACTGTCATCGTCTATACTCGGGGTAAACGGAGGTTTGAGAGCTACAAAAGGTTTAGCAGCAACCGGAGGTCTAATGGATGGCTTCCTGGCAGGAAGCTGCGGTTTGCTAGATTCATTCCCATTTCCGTCCTCGCCGGTAGCCTGGCTCTCAAAGGCCTGGATCTTGGCCCGGATGCTACGTTGATTGTTGCTGCCGCTCATCTCGTCAGGAGCATCTTCACTTTGCGAGGATTTGTCAGCTTGATCAGTGATGCCACCGCCCTGCTCGCACTCGTTATCTGCACCCAAAACCTCCAACAAGTCCTTTAAATACTTATTTGAGTGGAACTCCTGGTTATCAGATTGAATATCCTCAAAACTTTCACCGATTTCAACCAAAGTCTGAACTTTAGCCTCCTTTTCAGTTGCTTGCTTAAGGGATTTCGTGCGAGGGCGTGGAACGGGACGTTGGCTGCGATTGGAGTTTGAAGGTGAAAGAGTGGCGTCACCAGGTTCAGGGGCAACAGAAGGATGGTTTGCGGGAATGTTCCAGTGGACAGTTACAGATCGGACGCACGTGCGCGTGGAGTCTTGCTGTCGAAGTTGCTTTCCATCAGAGTCAGGATCACTTTGGTCCTCAGCGTTCGTGAGCGCTGCAGTATTTGTCGCAACCTTCTCTGCTGCTGTTCTGTCTGCTTGTTTCGGCAGCGAGGGCCTGGGTGGCTTTTGTGGCTTTGTACCTGGAAACATGAAGAACCACGGTGTTTAGAGTCAAACCTGCTATGAATGCTCAGCGGACAGCAATGATCCTTTTATGCCTCACCAGCAGGTCTTTTCTCCGCTAACGGTGGAGTGTCACCACGCTGTGTGACGGCAGCGGCAGGGTCAGTCTGTGTGGCGCTTGTGGCTGTGCAGCTGCTCCGGCGGGGGGCTGCAGTGGGCTTTACAGTGTGTTCCTCCCCAGTCTTCTCTTTGATCACCTAGTCATTGGATGGTGGGAGTGGAGTCATTAAAAGAGAGATTTTCCCCACATTTTCTCAGTTACTATGACATTTCTGTGTTGTGTATCTAGAATAATAGAAATATTGAACTTTCTACTATTGTTATTATGACTCTTTTCATTAGGCATGCTTTCAAAGGTTGATCCAGGCATGTTTGGACCCAACATTTGAACCTTTCAGTCAAAGCATTTGAGTCTGCGTGCCTGTTTTTTTTTTTTAAATATATATTTTTTATTTATTTATTTTTTCACAGCACACACCCTTGGCTATGACACACTTTGATCATTTTAAAATACTTGTTGCTAGGATTGACAGTGATCAGTGATTATTAACAGGTAACACTGAGACACTGTGGCTCAGGTCAAACCTACCTGGGAAACAGAGCCTGGCTGAGGAGGAGGGGAAACCACTGAGGATCCTGTGAACCAGGTGTTACTTGTCAGAGGCTCTGCTGCTACAAAGGTGATCTGTGGTCGCCTGGAAGACAAACCACCATAGCACCATGAGGACCCCCCCGACAAAAACACATCTACACACCCACTTGTCATTTATCTTTAATGCAATTTATTTACTGATGATTACTTTTTAGATTTGTTAGCAAAAGCACAGTTCTCTGAATCACATGGCACAAATCAGATATTTGGTTTCATTAAGCTTTTAAGAAGCAAACAATACAGGCGAGATGTAGAGTAGGAGGATGTAGGAGGATGTAGGAGGATGGGAACATTTTACAGTACCTCCTGTCTCTGTTGTTGCTCTGAGAGTTTGTTCTCGCTAAAGGAAGAAAGAAAAAAAAAAGTAACATGAACTTTGTCCCCATTGCACTATAAGATGTCTGTTCAAGTTAATCATACTACAGATATATTTCTCTCTTAAAAAAAAAAAATCCTGCTGAAACCAAAGATTAGAAAGAAGACTCATTACACTTCCACATGAAAAACATGTGAAGAAACACACCGTAAAAGGCTCTAAACGTTTCTCAGAAGGCCGGTTTAGGTAAACTTACTTCGTTTGATAGCAGCTCGTATTGAGGAGAGAGGTCCTGGACTGAAAAGAGAGCAGAACAAGAGTCTTGTTTATCATCAACAGCAGGTTCATACTTTTGCGGTGACACCATGGTTAAACAGAAATCTCGTCACTCTTCATTTTAACAAGCCTTGCAGTGTAACTCCATGCAGCTCCTCCTTATTGTTGATGATCCAAAAATAGATTGACAATAAGGCAGAGATGAATTGCTTAAATATTTTATAGATATAAATGATAAAAATATAAGCGAAAAATGGCAGACTATATTAGATTATTATGATTAAGGGAAGAGTAAGGTGGTTTACATCAGGTAAAAAGACAAAAATATTTTATATAAGCAGAAAAAAAGGTGCTGAAATACATTGAAATAAGTTCTTAGAAATTTCTTAGAGTCCAGAGTTAATTATGCAATTCACATTTCTTAGACTGGGCTGTCTGAAACGAGTCATTTCATTTCCTTACTTCTGATTGGCTACCTCTCTCAAACGGTCGGTTTAAGCAGCAGGTGGGCAGCAATTCTGCTTAAATACAGACTTATTTGCTTCAGACAGCAGCATTAAATGACATCATAGAGATCCAACAGTAGAAAAAAAAAACACTGCTGGATGCAAGTGCTACTTCTCAGCCTCCAATAGACACTACACACCATGGTGTCAAAGTCAATGTCGCCTTGAGTTATTAGATTCAAAAGGTATTCGGAATACTTGACCTCTGACCTTGAGGTTAAGGCCACTGGGATTCAAACTTGTCTGAGATTTTTAGTAGATGAAAATCCAAGGTGACTTCCTTCTTGAGTTATCGCATTCACAAGATTTTCAGAAAACTTGACCTCTGACTTTGACATCGTGATCAAAGTCACTGGGATTCAAAATTGTCCACTTATGATATCCTGCTGGTGTCTTACTCCATCAGTATTTTACGGCTGAGGGGTAAAAACTGTCTGAATCCAAATGTTCAGCACGGGTTGAAGCTTTTAAAAACACTGACCACATTTATGAAACTTTATATGCTTAAAAAATGCGTCCACTTTTATAACCACACACAAATAAAGGCAAAGAATGATAGGTTTCTGCTTTACAGGACAAGAGTAGTATCCCAACAAACACCGTTCATTAATCTGTTTGAAATCATCGGGCTTACAAAACCAGGAATCCCAATAAACAGGACAATTTCCTCTTTTGTAACTCTTTTACAAAATACAGGAGGCGAATGTATTGACATCTTCCGTTTGTTTCACTTTCAAACATTCTTTCCTTTTGATCGCAGCACTCTTTGTGCTGGTTGAAAACTATAGAGGTTGAACTAACGTGACAGGGATTTTTTCCTGCTCGTTAAGACCCGAGTCCTGGATCTAAACTATCTGACAAAATCCCAACAATCCTCCTTTCCTTGTGCTGGGCGGATAATTTAATTGACTGCTTGAGTTGGAACCACGTGGACTTAATAGGTCACAAACAAATCCACGATGTATGAAAGCTTTAAATAACGTGACAGATTTTCAGCTCTACACACATTTGTCTTCTTAACATGTGTAAACACCAAGTGAAAAAAAGCAGCACGGTGTCCACTCATCATTGTGTTGACCTTCTGTCTGTCAGTGAGGATAGATCACCGCATTGTTTGGTCCATTCACAACCTCACCATCAGCAGATCTGGCTGTTAAAGGGGACAGAGCCCTGCTTCCAGCTACAGCTGAAGTTTTGTGAAACTGAACAGCTGCTGCTGGATTGAACATACAAAACTTCAGCTCGGCATGAAATCAAATACCTGGAATGCGAATGTTCTTGGTTCTTGGTTCTTTCAGCACCATCTGCAAAGGAAAACAGAGAGAAACGGGTTTTATAAGTGACAAGAGCAACAAAAACAACACACTTGTGAACATTAATGCAATGAAGATGTATGAGAAAAGTTAGATGTATCATGATTGATCATTTTTAGTGCAGTGACTGAGATACTACAGGTCAAGTAACCAGAAGCAATGGCTGCTTTCACTGAATCCAGAAACAAGCTATGTTAACGTGACCTTCTGATCAATCATGTCCAATTAACTTAAATCTTTCGGAAAAAACTTGTTATAATGATTGTTATGAAATTTCAACCTTATACGTCAGATTTGTTTTTCAAGAGATATTTTTGAAAAATGGTCCATTGGCTCACTACCAGCATGAGTCAGTGTTTGGACATGAATATTTCAAACATTATTAAAGATAAGATTCTGTCTTGGAAGGTGCTATATAAATAAAAATTTATTTATTTATTATTATTATAAAAGCCTGAGAATTTCACTGGCCTTTCTTATCATCAAAAGGAATCAGGATCTAAAATTTAGTACAGATACATCAAAAAATGTCTTAGTATTGGTCAGTTAAAATATT